TTAAAGTCATAAATGGTTACAAATTAACTATAACTGATTATCCTAAACGTAAAGCATATAATGAACGTTATCCTATGCAATTTGATGAAAATGGAAAAGCTGTTAAACAATACATTGGAGAAGGTGAAAATGGTCCAATTAATTCATACCGTCATAATCCATATTCTTATTTCAATGAAGAATTAAATGCTATTGAAGAGGACCGGATGGATTACCACGATATTCTAACCAGTTTGATGGTCAATATGCAAATATTAGACCTGAAATTTCAGCTAAGAAATTCTTTAAAGTTGCTTTATTCGATCCAGTTTTCGCAAATGTTAAAGATGAACTTAAACAGCAATTCCAACCAATTATAGTAGCAAGAATTGCATCGGGTGCTTTATCTCAAGCATTCAAAGATTTAATTAAGAAACCATTATATCAGCAACGAGGTTTAACTTATGATTTAGTTAAGGAATCAGATAAAAGAAAATTTGAGAAATCAGATGATTATAAGAATGCAATTAATGAATATATTAGGTCTATTAATTACAATGAAACAGCTAAAAATCAACTTCAAGAACAAATACAGGGAATAATAGATTCAAAAGTTCCAGCAAAATAAAAGTTTAAATATATTTTTTTTATTCGAATATAAATGAGAAGACGTTTCACTAATCAAAAGAACACTAACGCAAAAGCAGAGATTACGGTTGGTTATAACGTAAATGATGATAAATCACGAATTATTCAAAATGTTAAAGTTAATGTTAGCCCCGAATTAACGAGGTCAGCAACTCAACCAAATTTATTAACTCGTGACTTACCGAAAAAGGAGGAGGAGAATGAAGAAAACCATGAGAATGGAGACCCAATCATTTTATCCGAACCCGGTAAAGAACCTGTTGAAATTCCTACTTATCCAACATACCCCCGCCTCTTTCATCAAACATCGAGAACCCATATAAAATAAACATCAATTCTGAATTAATGAAAATTTACCGTGATATAATAATTAATAATTATGATTCAATAATAAATTTAATTGACCAATCCGGTTTAATTATTTTACCTTATGAATCATTAATTCACATTATCGCCATTCTTTGTGATGTTCAAGATTCAGACGTTAAGATTCAATTTTTCATAGATGATGAGGTTTCATGCTGCGGAACAGTTGCAAAAATAAATCCTATAAAGGATATTAGCACAATTAAGATATCAAAGAATGGAACAACAACTGAACTTCATTTAACATATAATGATATTTATAATAAAATAGTTGATGAATATAAAATATCACTTGAAAAATTCTTTGTTAAGGCTATTTAATATTCAAGCATTAACATTATCGAATAATAATCCTTTGAATCATAATCAATAATAATTGACCTTTCACCAGTTTCTATCATTTGTTTTATTTCTTTTTTTTCCCCACTATCCGGATCGGTCATTGTAATTGTTTTTGTTATAGTATCAGCTTTATCTTTAACTTCAATCTTTTTTCCATCGGATATTTAAACCAAAATTCCAAAAATTCGATATTGTCAATCTGTTCATATTTTAATCTATCAATTACATTTTTAATACCATCTGAAAATCTTATGAAATGGTCATTATATGGGTTTGATTGAACTAAATTTGAATGAAGTGAAATATAACCTGTTGATGAATATGACGTCGACTCATATTTTCTGAAAACACTAAAATTTATAACATGAATGAATTTCTTATTCGTTGAATTTATGAATTCTTGAGGTAATCTTATTCTAGTTTTATTTATCACTGGAAAATAACGCTTTACCATATTTTTAATCGTAATAAAAATGTCAATTATCAATATTATTTCAAATAATAACTGTGAATTAAATTTAACAGTTAGCGGAATTTATAATGTTACTCTCGTTTCTGTGAGTGGTAAATTTAATCTCATTCTTTTAGACCCTTCAGATTATATATCATTTATTAAAGATGACCATGAAAAAACGTATGATATGTATATAAATAATGTGATAGCGAAATGGGATATTAACACGATTTTAAGTTATTTAAATGAATCATTTATCGTATGGTATGAAGAAAATTTTAAATCAAAACCTGATAAACTTTTTGAACTTGATGAAATAAATAACCTTATTAAATTTCCGCTGAAAATTAAATTTTGTACTCCTCATCTTCGTTCATTGTTGGGGATATTAAATTTTGAAAAAGATGTTGGGGATGTTTTGTATTCTGACACCGGTTCCAATTTCATTTTAATCAAATGTGATAAAGTTAATACCCCAATGAGATTTTCACATCAAACATTAGACCCTAACTCTTACCCATCAATACAAAACATTTTATCCATCAACTTAAACACATTTTCTTTATCATATCCGTTTCAATTATCCGGGAATTCATTTATTCTTCATTCAAAAGATTTATCAAAGATTAAATTTAGAATAACTGACCTATTTGATTGTGATTTAGAATTTATGAATGAAATATTATGGCAATTTCAAATAGAAAAAATAGCTGATGAGATAACGGATTAAATATTTATTTTTAAATCATAATAAATGATTAAACAACAGCAACCACAGCAACTTAAGGCGCAAAGCACCCAGGTCCTTCAGACCATTACATACGCCATATATGCATATAATTCAAAGACAGCAGAACAAACACAAAGGTTGAAATATGGAGATTTGGAGATAGTATTGAAAAATGACCATTTCGAATTCGTTTGCAAAGGTGGTGCAGTGATATCAAATATAAAAGAAATTTTATTTATGAATTCAAAAATTAAAGGTATAACGGATGATATAACATCAATTCCACCAGAAGAACAAAGATATTACGCATTAAATGCATTTCCTAAAGTTTTGAAGATTGGAAGATTTAATTTAAATGAGGAATTCATAAAAGGTTTCCTTAATGACATAATGAAGAAGGCAGATAAGGAATATGTCAACGGTGAATTAATGAAGAAGGCAAATTTGGTTTATGTTGATGAAAAAGATAATGAAATTAAAGAAAGGGTTGAATGGTATCATGAATGGACATCAAAGATTTTTAAAACTAAAGCTGATACAGGATGGGTTTCAGGATGTTTAGACCTTAAAGCAGATAAAACTTATGTTAATGGTGAGTTAGAGAAGAAGGCAGATAAGGAATATGTCAACGGTGAATTAATGAAGAAGGCAAATTTGGTTTATGTTGATGAAAAAGATAATGAAATTAAAGAAAGGGTTGAATGGTATCATGAATGGACATCAAAGATTTTAAAACTAAAGCTGATACAGGATGGGTTTCAGGATGTTTAGACCTTAAAGCAGATAAAACTTATGTTAATGGTGAGTTAGAGAAGAAGGCAGATAAGGAATATGTCAACGAAATATACCAAAGTTTGATAGGAACAACAAAAAATATTGAAACTATTGTTGGTGACTTTTCTGTCAATGAAGAAAATAAATATTTTAGATGGCAATTGGTACAGTCCTTAAAAAATGGTGTAAACTCATTCCGAAAAATAACAATGAAATGTATGTAAGCTATATAAAGAATAATGGTACACAAGTTAAAGTTCCATTAGACAACAACTGCTACTTAAACTTATATGGAGACGAACAAAAGAAATATTTAAGAGTTTATGAAATGACAGATATGACATTGCCTCACCCAGCTCCAGCACCATATTATTATGACTATGGAGATGACGACAGAACACCACATGTAGATGAACAAAAGCTAACATTATATTTAGATTATTATAGATATAAAAGATATAATGCAATAGAAAAAACGAGAATAGTATATTATTATACAGATGACAAAAATAAATATTATAGTCAAGATTTTACCTACCCTGAAAACATAAGATTATATTATAAAAAATATTCTGACACAAACCAGAAGAAACCTGAAATAGTTGCACTATATTTTAAGTTCAAAATAGACAATCCTATATTATCTCATATGTTTGATTTAATGAACCCAGTAGGTTCTATTTATACATCTATGGATGCAAGAGGTCCTCAAGTAATGTTTGGTGTTGGTGCATGGGAACAGATTGTAGACAGGTTTTTGTATTGTGCAATCTCTTCAAAGGAAACAGGTGGAAGTAAAACGATTTCAGGTGAAAATTTACCTGCACACAGTCACTACATAGATTTAAGTACATCTCAGGCAGGTTGGCATAAGCATAGATATTGGGATTGGTCAGGAATGACAAAAGGTAAAGGATATGATGTTAAAGACGACGTTAAGTTTGCTATAAATTGTTACTGGAGTGACACTCAGGGAGAAGGAAACCATACACATTTCGTTTCAGGATATACACAAACAACGGGACAAAGTAAAGAATACATGCCACCTTACATGACAGTTTACGCATGGTATAGAGTTCAATGAACGCTCAATGTTTGTAAAACAAACTTTAGAACGGACTGAAAGTCCTGAGCTCCAAAAGAGCGAACAGCATAATTTAAATTTTTATTTTAGTATAAATGAAGATTCTACCATATGGTGTTATTGGAAGAGATAAAGATGGAAACCCAATATTTGATCCAAAGTTAAAATTAAAGTTACTGACAAGACAACAACTTGAAAAGTTGCTGAAACCAAAACAGGATGAAAAATGAGAAAATGAGAAAGAAAAATTTAAATTATGCAATTTTATTTTTATCATAAATGACAAAATTAATTAAGCCAACTATTTCTAAATTAATGATACCAATGAAATCATTTCGTGGAGTACTTATCCCAGGTTCTTCACAATTAGCCAGGGCAGGTGTTGTGACTCAAGGTGGAACATTAGCGAATCCATTCAAATTATTAACTAAAGATGAACTTAATAAAACGATGATAAAATAACTGATAACAAAATTTTATTTCACTGCTACCATGTCAATTAACTTCTTTTAAAAATAGTGACAATATGACATTTTGACAACAGTTCAGGAGGAAGGCAAAAATGAATTATTTTTAAAATTATTTTTATTTTTTTATTTTGTATGTAAGAACAGAAATGTCAGTCGAAGCAAAAACATTCACAAACAAATCTAATGGTGAAACATTCACAAAAGGCACTTATAATGGTATTGAAGTCTTACGTAGAGACAAGGATGGTTACATTAATGCAACAAAGATGGCAAGAGAAACGGGAGGGTTAAACCATTTAAACAGATTTCTCAATAGTACTAAAATGCGGGAAATTCTTAAGTTTTGGATGAACGAATACGGTCGAGCCAAAAGTGGCTCAACCTCAAAACAAGCATTTTATGAGCTTACTAAGGGTGTTATAAATGAATTCAAAGGTATTTACATACATCCTGACCTCATTCATTTTATTGCTGAATGGTGCTCAGTAAAGTATGCATTTTATGTCAAAGATATTATGGACTCCATAGACAAGAAAGTTCATGAGAAATTAGATGAAGAAGAACTCGAAGATACAGTAGAGAATGCTAAACATTTGTTTGAAGAAGAAGTTGGAAAAATATGTGAAAAACAATTAGAACATGAACGAGAGATATGTTATGGTTATAGAGATTCTCCATACGAACTAGACCAATGGGAACAAGAAGATTTAAAGAGAGAATTTAGAGAATATGAACTCGCTAAGATAGCATTTGAAGCTGCAGAAAAGAAGTTAAAAGTTTGGGGTCGTTTTGTACAAAAATATTGTGAGTAAATGAACCATTTATTTTTATCATAAACGACCAAAAATATATTTTATCGTTAATGTTTTCGTTAATGTTTTCAGGTTATTCAATTATGAAGCATTATTGAAGAACTGAAGGTGTCACCATGTCACCATGTGTCACCAGGTTATTCAACTTCTCTGAAAAAATGAGACAACATGACATTTTGACAACATGACATTTTGACAACATATTAATGACAACATATTAATGACAACATATTAATGACAACATATTAATGACAACATATTAATGACAACATATTAATGACAACATATTAATGACAACATATTAATGACAACATATTAATGACAACATATTAATGACAACATATTAATGACAACATATTAATGACAACATAGGTTCTTCAATAATGCTTCATAAGTACCTCCCCCTATGTTGTTGTCATAATGTCATGTTGTCAAAATGTCATGTTGTCATTAATATGTTGTCAAAATGTCATGTTGTCATAATGTCATGTTGTCATTAATAAGTTGTCAAAATGTCATGTTGTCATTAATATGTTGTCAAAATGTCATGTTGTCATTAATATGTTGTCAAAATGTCATGTTGTCATTAATATGTTGTCAAAATGTCATGTTGTCTCATTTTTTCAGAGAAGTTGAATAACCTGGTGACACATGGTGACATGGTGACACCTTCAGTTCTTCAATAATGCTTCATAAGTACCTCCCCCCATGTTGTCATTAATATGTTGTCAAAATGTCATGTTGTCTCATTTTTTCAGAGAAGTTGAATAACCTGGTGACACATGGTGACATGGTGACACCTTCAGTTCTTCAATAATGCTTCATAAGTACCTCCCCCCATGTTGTCATTAATATGTTGTCAAAATGTCATGTTGTCTCATTTTTTCAGAGAAGTTGAATAACCTGGTGACACATGGTGACATGGTGACACCTTCAGTTCTTCAATAATGCTTCATAATTGAATAACCTGAAAACATTAACGAGGAAGGCAAAAAATAAATTCAAATCATACTTTATAAAGCTTCATTTGCAGGTATTTCATCGTCAGTAAATGAATCCTCATTATCGTTTGGTTCAACCTGTTTATATAATCCTTTCATTTCTTCTTTCAAAACATAACACCATGTCTGTTTATCATCTATTCTTCTCTGTTTCCTATCACATTTATCCTTAATGCTCATTTGGAAATTCTTGTCTTTCATGTCTGATGGTTTGCAGAATAGCGCATTTTTACACGTCATACCTGCACACAATTCATCATAATGTGTATTTATCCATACATCTAAAGGATTTGTTGATAATTCAATTAAATCTTGTTTGGCTTCAGTCATCGGTATGATTCGTACATTAAATGATGAAAGGTCATATTGCATAAAATACGTCAGTAAATTATCATAAAATTCCTTTGTGCATGAATTCATCAAATTCTTGAAATAATCAAATTGACCCTTAAATTTACCATTAACTCTTAAAACTACATATCTTCTGTCTCCAACTTCAATTTTGACAGGGTAAACGTTGTTAGTTACGAAAATGAAGTTTGCAACGTTTTGTGCTGTTCTTCTGGGTTGATTCTTTTCATTAATTCTTATCTCATTATCCGTAATAATTGATTTCAAAGCGTTGAAGTTTGCGAGTCTATCTTCACCTACATTCTTGAGTTCATTAAGTACAAGAAACATTTTATTCTCAACTACTGAATTGAAATTACCCGTTAGCTCACTTATTTCGGTAATGTTTTTGCATGAATAACCGGCGAGAAGTTCAGAAATAATGTCAGTGAATCTGTTTTTACCTGTTCCCTGAAGTCCTTTCAAAATAATTGATGTTTCATTCTTGATTCCAGGATGTTGAATCATTGATGCAATCCAGCCGAGAAGGTATTTATACACTTCATCGTTATTATCACAAACGGCTTCTTTAATGAAATTCATAAACATCTCAATTTTTGAGTAATCTGGTTTTTCGAGAATGTTGTATTTATAACCTTGAAACGTTGAGAAAACATCGGGGGAATCAGATTTAAAGCAAACACCCTTAACGGTTAATGAAGACAATTGATTTAATAGTACATCCCATGCTGTTATTGTTTTACCTTCTTCATTAAATAATTTAATCATTTTGAGTGACTCTTTCATGTTTGATTGAAGAACGAATGATATTTGATTCATTTTGTCGTGGATATTATAGTCCTTTTGAATGAAATATTTATTTCCACAATCTACAAAACGGATTACACGTGATAAATCCTCAATTACTTCAGAACTGTTTTTATACTGATGATTTTCAGCCTTGCGTCTAATATCTGTTATCAAAAACGAGTCATCAAGTTTGATATCGAATGTTATTTTTGGCTTACGTAATAAAGGCAAAACATATTCATCATAATATTCCTTTTGATATAGTTTTAGAATCTTCACCAAAACAAATGGAGAAGTCATTAAATGTGCATATCTATTACGTGCTTTTTCAAAATTACTTTTTGCATTTTCTGTTAAACTGCAGAAGTTATAAACGTTATCGTATGCTTCATTAATCAAATGATTAGGTAACGAATTAATAGCTTGAAACAGTGTGAATAATGTTATTTCTTTTTCTAAATTCATGTTTCCACCGTCATTATGTACTTCAAAATCACAGATGCCATCAACTATGCTCTGGACAAGTTTATCGTCAATGTTTACATCTTTGTTTTCATTCATGATAGTCTTTATTTCTTCATTCTTCTGTTCAACTCTTACCTTAATATTCAAATCATTTAATATATCATTCACTGTTCTAGTTAATGTTGAATCATAACTTCCACGAATGAATGAGTATGTATTGATTGGTTCTGTTGCATTCTTGCGAACTCTTGAATCAGCCATAACTACTAAAGAACGCTTTGAATCATCCATTGACGTCATGATATCAATATCGTAATCATTGCAGGAATAGCATTTAATCATTCTGTTCGAAACTGCATAGAAGAAATTAGTGTTGCAATAAATGTGAAGACCTCCTGAAGCGGTTTTAACAATAACATCTTTATCCGAAAGTTTTGATAAAATGTCTTTTCTAACTGTTTCTTTAAGTTCATCATTGTACGATTTATTGATATCAACATCTATAATCGTTAAATTTGGAATTTTATTTACTAATAAAGCCATACCAGTTTTCCTTCCTCTTCTCCCATCATGTTTGAGGTAGTTATGTAAATCAATCATGTTTTCACCAATTCTTTCGTTGAGGGTTTTAGTTTCTGCCACAACTAATTCCTCAACTAATGAATCAATAACTTTTTCATCAGAAACGATAAAGTTGCTGCTGTCGTTTGTTGCTGTCATTTATATAGGAATAAAAAAATAAAAATAATTTTAAAACTAACTTTATTTTTTGGACTGCATCATAACCCCTATGTTGTTGTCAAAATGTCATGTTGTCATCATTTTTTCAGAGAAGTTAATTAACCTGGTGACACATGGTGACATAGTATCACCGAAAAAAATTAAATTTGGATTGAGTTTAAAAATTCATCTTTATTAAATTCATCTCTTCCAATCAATTTATTTATTCTATTAAATTCTTTTATTTTTGCTTCACTCAGTTTAAGGATTGAACGGTAAGTTTTTAATTTTTCGATTCTTTCTTTCCTCTCTTTATCGTTTTCAACCCCACCACATTGCTGCTTCTTTTTGCAATAGCATATTTTTGATTTAATTCTGTTTAGTTTCTTTTTATATTCATCGTCTGGACTCTTGGCTGCTTCGTTGTCACTCATTTCTTACGAAATAAAAAAATTAAATGTTATTTAAATATAATGGAGTAATAAAATAAATCGGAATTTCTATTAATTTATTGTTAACCTCAACTAATACATTACCGTTAATATATCTAACAAATTCAGCTATTGTGTCAAATCTTCGTCTTCTTTTTGTCATTGATTTATCAGTTTTTCCATAATCGAGATGAATCAAAACTTTATCCCCTTGTTTAAAATTCATGAGCCCCGAATTAATTTGTTCACGTTTAACATCATTTAACCTTTCCATTTGCTTTTAATATATTCCCATTCTTTTGAAATATCATTTTTCATTTCCACCGGTTTCATGTTTATAGTTCTATGCCATATTATTGTAATAATATACTAACTGCTGTATGATGGAGTCATGATTTCCATCCCAGTATATCTGACCGTTAACCCCTAACGCATCTCTAAGAGTTCTCATTACTGCATCAACTATTTTATTATGAAACGTATATGGAGAGGATGAAAAGTAAAAAATTAATTTGTGGGAAATAATGAGCCATAGCTGCCTGAAATCCTTTATCACCATCAGAATTATCTACTCTTTCATGATCTAGTAAGTATTGAATAGCTCTTCTTGTTTCCTGTTCTGTTTTCCCTTTCACGGAATGCAATATAAAATTCTTGTGTTAATGTTAATGGCAAATAAATAAGTAACATTTCCTTTTGAATATTCTAAATGATCGATTTCGTATGAATATGGATATGGTGCAAATGAAGGGCGACCAAATTTTTCCTTAACGGTTGAATTTTTGGGTCAATTGGTTTATTTAATATCTTGAAATCCTTTTAAAATCTTTTTGCTTCTTTAATGTTTGAAATGGATATAATAAAGTGAATGATGAAGGATTAACTGAAGGAGGAGGAGGTACTACTGTTGGAGGTTTTGGGGTTGCAAGTGGTTTAATTTTATCTGCTTTGATTTTGGATGATGAAGTTTTGGATTTCATTCCTCCTTTCATTAATTCCGGATGTATTCTATTCATTTGTTTTAAATATGCTGTATATAAAGGTTTGATATACTTTCCCGCTTCGAGTTTATGTTGAAGGATGAATTCCAAAAGTTGATCTTCATTTAAAAGTCGGGCTGAATGTGGTTTAACTAATGAATCATAAATTAAAGCTTGTGCTTCATTTATGTCTGAATGACCTGGGCGTTTTGCACTTTTAGCTTTTGTTCCTTTGTTTTTTGCAGCTCAGGATTATATAATTTATATAATTCATCAATATCTTCTTCTGTTAATACTTTATTTTTGAAATCTTTCAATTGTTTAAGTTGTGATTTAGTTTTTCCCTTTGTATATTCATTATTTTTAATTTTGTCTTTAATTTTAGAAATTATTTTATCATGATATTTCAAAATTTCATTTTTATAATATGAATAATAATAATCCATATCATCACCCGTTATATTTTCATCATATTTTTGGAGATATGCTTTTAATTCATAATAAGTAAGAAAATTTTGATTAAATACTAAATCATCAATTAAAATTTTTAAATCTACATTATCCATTTATATAAAAATAAAATAAATGTTTTAAGGGCGCCCACCTCTTTGATCAAGAATCAAAACCATTATTAACGGTTCCTTTTGTCTCTTCTGTGGCATTTTATTAAATAAACGGCATACAACATCCATTTTCACAACATACAGCCTTAGTGTGTGCTCCTGTTAATGCAGTCTTACCAATTGTTAAGCGAGTCATTGACCTGTTTTTAAGTTGTAAATTAATATTCTGACCATCAAATATCACTTTATCATTTATTATATCCAAATAATTTTTAGGTGTTAATTGTTTATTTTGTCGTAAACTAACACCTTTCATTTTTTGTGCAATCTTTTTAAAATCACCCCCATCAATTGAACCGTTGAATGATGTATAACACTTGGGGCATAAAGCAACCATGTTATCACCTTGTTTCTCAATTGCTAAACCCAATAACTTCTTCTCATGTGCTTTTTCTTCAGCTTTATTCTTTAATTTAGGTTTAAATTTCTCATCAAAACAGAAGAAATCAAATGGTGCGAATTTGAAAATGTTTTTATCATAAAATTGTTTATCAGTAACAATTGCTTGAAATGCTTGAGTGTTAGGAAGATTTAGATCACCAGCGATTGCCCAATAAGATGAATCAGTATCACCTTCAATGAAATGAAAACGATTAACATTCATGCATTTATACATAAAATCATAAATGAAAACCAAATACCAGTATTTAGCATTATCTAAAGTGAAGAATGCCTCTTGTAAACATGTATCACATCTATAAAATCTATCTTTGAGCATCATTTGATACGCATCTTCACCTATTTCTCTTATGTTTTTAAACTTATTTGACATACATGCAACGCGTGCCTTCTGTGCATTCATTATTTTAGTCTTTGCGTAATTTTGTGTATTCATTGCATCGTAACCATATGATCCATTAAGTGAAATCTTGCAAAATAAACTTTTTCCTTTATTTCCTTCTAATTCAGCCTTTTGTCTTTCGATCATAAATTCATTCACAAATTCATTAAAGCAAGTGTTTTTAGTAAATGTTAAAATTGATTGAATGTCATCGATGATAAAATGAAATCTGTCTATTAGATACCAAAGATAATAAGAAGAAAATGGTTGATATTGGTTGTGTGTTGATGCTAACTGAGTTAATTTTCTCTGTTTCTGGTCAACTGGTAGATTGTTTGATTTCATGTAATTATACATAAAACACCAATTGTTTTTTCATCTGTGATAATATCTAAGTTTCTTATTATCGGTAAAAAGTTTATGTAATCATTAATGTATTTTTCATCAATGTGACCCTTTACTTCAGCCACGAATAAAGTATTTTTCTTCTTAATTATTCCCAATGCTTTTGCTTTCTTTGTTGCTGTATCACAAATGATAACACCATTCAATCTTCCCGGCATATACATTTTATGGTCAGTATATTGAATGAAATCATGAGGATTAGATGAAAATGATGAAGGATATAATGAATTAAAATCAACACCAACGAAATGAGTCATAATGTTGGTGGTGTCCTCATTTGATACAGTTTTAGTTTCTGGATTATATGAAAGTTTATTAATGTGCGTGATTCCTTTAAGATTACTCTATGTTGAACATTTGATAGACCACCAGTAATTCCATTACGGAGAATGTGATAAGCTTCAACTGAATCTAAAGTCATTGGTAAATTATTTTTTAATGCATAATTTCTTAAATTGATTCTTAAACGTTGAACATCTTCATCTTTATTTGATTTTACGACATTGCAATAACAACACATTAACTGACAATTTTCTTTGGTATGTGGTTTTTCATTATCGATTCTATCTAATGTTGGTTTATTTGCATATGTAAACGCTTTACCACACATTTTGCATTTAGATGAAAGGATTAAATCGTGATAGTATTGAAAATCATCCATTGAAACATTATTTTTAGTATCTCTTTCTGCTTTTTCATCTTGTTTCTTATATGATTCAATTTTATATTTCCAATACTTTTTCGTTAATTCAAAACTTGATTCTATCTCTTCCTCAGGATATTTTTCATTAGGATTAAAGTCTTTATATGCTAAAGCGTAACGAATCATTGAAGCATTCGATGATAAAGAAAGATTATGAAGCATATCAATTTTATAAACAAATGTTTCTTCAATAATTTTATCGATTGGGTCAATCATAATTTCAACATCTTTATTGCAATAATGAATAAAATATTCTAATCTATTCTTAAAATTTTTAGCATCATTGAGATATATTTGATAATCACTATCTGATATAGTTTCTTGAGTTAATGCTGAATAAAATGAATCTTGAGTGAATGGTTCCACTTTATATAATTCTTCTTCGTAATTTTCCCACATGAATTGATAAGGGAAAAAGGATTTAACACGTGATTTATTGTTTCCGAAATCTTGAGTGAATTGGTCTAATGTCCCACCCGCTATATAATTTCTGATGTCAATAAATCTCAATTCATATGGAACGTTTGTTTTCTTTACAATGATTTGCTTAAATTGTGAAGATGAACCCAGCATTGATTTTATTTTCCATTTTGCAGTGTTTAAATCACGAAGAATTAAATTTAAATCAAACTTTCCCGAATTAAAACCTATGATATTCACTTTATTGAATTCCTCATCTAGAAGTTCTTTAAATGCTTCCTTCTGTTTTTCATTTAATGTATGAGACAAAGTCCCCACCGTTTGCGGCTTCAATAATTCTTCATATTGTTCAATATTTGATTTAGCAACTAATGAACAGGTTGAAAATAAAAACTCAATCCAATCAGAAATAAAAGAATCACTCGAAGTTAAGCAAAAATTCCTCGTATATGTTTTATCGTTTAATTTAACCGTTGATGATACCATGAATGGTTTTAAGTAAGCGTTCAAAGTTGCACACTCAGAAAGTTGTAATTCTTCTTTAGTCTCTAATGTTTCAAAGTCAAAAGTAATATAATATCTTGTCGGTTTATAATATTCCTGCAAATTGTGAGCTAATAACCACTGATATATCTTCTGTTTCGTAATATGTGGTGCATATGGTTGCTGTGTCTTTTGCAATTGAACGTCTTGAATTAATCTTCCATTATTTTCTTTACATTTCTCACAATGCTTTAAAAATCTTCTTTGGTTTTTCCTTTCTGGATCATCACGGATAGAATAAACTTCTTCTTTACAAATGACAAACTTTATAGCCGGTGAGTGCTTCAACGTCTGTTATTCTGTCAGCGTGAAGTTTTCCACATGGACTCTGTGTTAATAAAATATTTACTGTTTCAAATTCTGGATCTATCATTATTGATTCCACTAATGGAAAGTCTACCTTATTTATGTCCACGTCTTCTGGTTGAGGATCACAATAATAGAAATCAATATTAACATTTAACATTCTCGCTAATCTCTCACTTTCTGATGAAATGTCAAAACCTTCATATGCATCTATTGCTTCATTTAAATAGCTTCTACGAGTTTTAGGATTAACACCATCAGGAATGTTATAGAAGCGTTTAAATAACCTTCTACCTTCTGCTCTAATTTGATTATCATTCATTTTAGCTGTTCCGTTTTTGTTCATTTATGTAAGAATAAAAATTAAAAAATAAATAAAAATAAAGTTTATTTTTTAAAGTCCATAAAATGAATTAAGAACACATAAATTTTTATCATCTGCGACGTGACGAATACATTTTAATTTACTCAAGAATGCGTACCCTGATACATTAAATCTAATTCCTGTCTTATTTAATTTCACAACTTTGAAAAGGAATGTATGAATAGCTATAAAATGATGAGAAGATGTTTTATGGGTTGCTTCCATTTTTTCTGAAATAAATGAATAAATATAATGCTTATACGTTTTCATATCTTTTATGTTCTTAATAACGAATGGTATGGACCTTTCAACTTCGTCTTCCTTCGGTGCTGTTCTTTCATATGAAACATTATTGGTATCTTCAACAATGAAACCGCAATCACATAAAATTTTATATGTTCCAATGGTTTCTTTTGATATTTTATCTAATAAATCAAAAACTTTATCAACACCCGTGCATTTATTTAAATAATAATTTGTGTAAATATCATGATCTTCTTTCTTAATCGTATTAGTTGCATATGTCACGTTTTTAAGAGCTTTTTTGAATTTTTCGGAATCTAAAGGTGATGAAAATAAGATACAGGGGTATTCTTCATTATCAATAAATTGTAACTTATGTTTACGAATAAATTTAGTACCTTCTTCTGAAAGTGTTTCGTCTATTTCACCATCTAATAAATTTTGTGTTGATTCTGAGACATAATTTTTATATCTTTCTTCATGAGATTTCTGAACTTCTGATTCTGAAGCTGGGATATTCATTAAACCCTCTACTTCATTTTCATTATATTTTTCAACTTCTCTTAATTCCTTAATTTTTTCATCTATTTCATCTCTTATTTTTTCCAGTCTTTCAATTTCATCGTATTCATCATCTTTAATTCGTTCTTCATAATATTCAGGGAAAACATCAGGTTCTTTAGGTTTTTCTTCTTTAGATGTGGGATATAAGAAATTTATAACATCATCTTTATTCATTTTTCCATCATAATCAAACTCATTTAAAAACTCCGCGAATTTTTGACAATTTCTTAAATAATATTTATCAACCTCATAACCCGCCTCCTCTAATATATCCTTTATTTCCCTGTTTGTGAATCCTAATTTTTTAACGTCGTTAGTCTTGACACTCATTTCATACAAAATAAAAAAATAAAATAATAAACATAACTAAGTTTTAATTTTTCGTAAGAAGTTTGACCCATTCAGTTATTCAACAATGTTTAATTAATCGCGGAATATCTGACATCATCTATATATAGCTTCTTTTAAAATTAATGTTAATTTTTTTTATCTTTTATTTCATTATGTATGGGTTGAGTGTAAATGTCTTACAATTTTGAAAATTTTTTAAATCTTGATTTATTCAAAAACGTAAGAATAAAAACCGTAAGAATCATACATTTTTTACTTCATATGTTAAAAAAAATGATACAAAATCGTTCTATATTGTATGAATTCTTACATTTACAAAAAAAGTCACACAACCCTTCCATATATACTACTATTCTTATATTTATATTTTTTAGTTCACTTTTTAAATAATGATCTTTAGATTGAACCAATAACGCGATTTTCCATATAAATCGCGATTTTTTTGAAAAATCGCGACCACAATAAAATCGCAATTCATTAAAAAACGCGATTTTAAAAAAGTCGCGATTTTTCTAAAAAATCGCGATTTATATATTTAAATCGTGATTAAAAAAGTGGTTGCGGTTTTCCCTATTGATAAAAATAAATTCTCCAAAATAACGTGCATTGCGTCTATCGTTCAAGGAATAATGAGTTGCAATCCTAAGCCCGTTGTGTCAGAATATTGCGATGTTCTTGACCGCAGACGAGCTTATAAGCAGCATTGTAATCATTTGAACGAAATTTGCGGCTCAATTGATACTTCTCCGCCCATTGTTGCACCAAGAATTGTTGCTCATGAGAAAAAGAGAGAAGCTGAAATGAAAAAAACACTTGCACAAGATGCACATAATCTAGCTTTAATCAAAGGATTGCATGAATCGTCATCTTTAACAAATACATCAAGAAGATATAAACATATTCCTGATTGGGTCGAACAATTAGGAGCACCTGACGAATTAGTACTTAATTCACGTCCAGAATCACAAACAAACTCGCGCGCATCTACAGCTTCGAATTCTTCTGTCAGAAGAAAACGCAAAATCATTGTTGACGATGGATTTATGGTCGAAGACTCAGCTATATCTGCTGCAAATTCGAATTACGATAGTGATAGCCAAAGACCTATTAAAACTTCATATGGAGCACGCAAGAAAGTTGATTCTATAACACGCCCACAACAACCAAAGGCGCCAATTAAAGCAACAAGAAAGCCAGCAGCAGCTCAAAAGCAGAATTTACCAAAGTTACGAGTCAATTCGAAGCCGAAAGAGACTTTTCCAACTCAAAAGCCAACAAGCTACTTAATTCAAATTAAATCACATAAAGCAAGTACACCAAGCTCGGCAAGCTCAACACAATCGCAAAATACAAATCATTCGCAAAATGATGATGCAAAGTCTCAAAATCTCGAGACAGATGTTTCATTTAGTTTCGAATTTAGCAACATCGAGCCTACTGACAAAGACTTATTAGCTGATGAAGAACTCAGCGAAATAAATCTCACAAAAAGTGAGCAAAATTCTGATGATGATCTCAATATACAGGATTCCGTTAAAGAAATTAGCGGAAGCGATGATGAAATCAAAGTCAACAAGCAACAAAATCCTGAAAATGACGATCAAAATATTTCTACTGAAAAGGATCTGAAGCCTTTGAGCAGTGCTATTAAGGATAACCTTGATAATCTTGATGATAACGACTCGAATAAAGAAGAAAAAGAAGAATCAGAAAATAACGTACATAATGATTCCGAAGAAAAAGGCTTAGATCAAAAAGGCAGCAAGAATGAAGAGGAAGAACAACAAAACAATGAAGAAAAAGAAAATTCCGCCGAGAATAATTCTGAAGTTTCTGATTACGGGCTTGATCAGGAAGAATTAAATTCATTTGTTGATTCTCAGAAGAAGGACATCCTAAACAATGCTATTTCAGCAGCTGTTTCAAACTCATTATCCAATGGTCCAGAAGAAAATCCTCAAGAAGAGGAAAATAAGGACGAAAATAACGAAAACGATGAAAATAAAGAAGAAAATCCAGTAGAAAATAAAGAATTAGAAGATACAGAGAAAGAAAAAGAACCAGAGGTAAATGAAAAGGAGTTAGATGCAACAAATGACGCTGATACTAAATTATTTGATGAAATTAAAGATAAAATTGATGATTCTGAAAAAATTGATGATCAAAAAGAACCAGAACAGGAAAAGGAAATCGAAAATAAAGAAAACAAGCCTGAAGAAGAAGAAAAACATGAAGAAAAGCCGGAAGAAAATAATATAACCGAAGAAGAAGATAAAAAAGAGGAAGAAAAGCCACAACCTGAAGAAAGCAATGACAACAGAAATGAAATGGCTAAAGGCTTGGCTCGAGCTCTTCATATTGAAGATAATAAAGATATTGAACCGACAAAAGTTGAAGAAAAACCAAACGAAGACGAACAGAAAGACAGAAGCCTATCAATTACAGATAAAATTGGTGACATCATGAAAGAAAACGAAATCAAAAATAATGATGACGAAGAAAAACCGGAAGAAAACAAAGAAGATAAGAAAGAAAGTGAGGAACAACCAAAAATCTCCATCTTTGCTGCGGTCTCAGATGCTCTTGAGAAGAAAGATGAAGAAAAACCGAAATCCGAAGAGAATCAAGAAAATAAAGAAGAGAAAGATGAAAAGAAAGACGATGAAAAGCCAGAAAATGACTTATCCATTGCAAAGGCTCTTGAAAAAACTCTTGAGAAACCAGAAGAAAAGAAAGATGAAGAAGAAAAACCAAAAGAAGAAGAAAAAGAAACAAACACAGCAAAGAAAGAAGACGAGAAAGCAGGTCTTTCACTATTCGGTGCAGTTAGTGATGCTCTTGAACATCCATCAGAAACCGCATCCCGCGAATTCGAACCATCCAAATCAGAAGAAGCCAAAAAAGAAAAAGAAGAAGCAAAACCAGCTGAACAATCAGAACAGAAAGAACCAGAAGAAGAAAAGAAAGACAAAGACAAAGAAAATCAAGAAAAGCCAACTCTTTCACTCACAAGTGCAATTGGTGCAGCACTTGTTCATCAAACTGATAAACCAGAAGAAACTCAACCATCAGAAGAAGAAAAGAAAGAAGAAGAAGAAAAGAAAGAAGAAGAAGAAAAGAAAGAAGAAGAAGAAAAGAAAGAAGACGAAAAACCAAAGGCCGAAGAAGAAGAAAAGAAGGAAGAAAAACCTGAAGAAAAAGAAGATGATGAAAAGAAGGAAGAAGAAAAGCCAAAAGACAAAGATCTTTCACTCTCATCTGCTCTTGGTGCAGCTCTTCTTAATAAGCATGACGAAGAACCAGATAAGCCTAAAGAAGAAGAGAAACCAACAGAAGAACCAAAGAAAGAAGAAGATAAAGAAGTTAAGGAAGAAAAAGTAGAAGATGAGAAGAAAGAAGAAAAGCCAAAGGACAAAGATCTTTCTCTTTCTTCTGCACTTGGTGCTGCTCTTCTTAATAAACATGATGAAGAACCAAAGAAAGAAGAAGTTCAGGAAGAGAAGCCAGCCGAAGAAGAAAAGAAAGAAGAGGAGCCAAAGAAGGAGGAAGATGCAGAGAAACCAAAAGATCTCTCACTTGCATCAGCTCTTGGTGCTGCTCTTCTTGATAAACACAATGAAGAAGTCCCAGAAAAGAAGGAAACAGAAGAAGAGCCAAAGCAAGAAGAAGTTAAAGAAGAAAAACCTGAAGAAAAAGAAGAAGAAAAGCCAAAGGACAAAGATCTTTCACTCTCTTCCGCACTTGGAGCTGCCCTTCTTAACAAACACGAAGAAGAACCCGAAAAACCTCAAGAAGAAAACAAAGAAGCAGAAGAACCAAAGAAGGAAGAAGAAGCTAAAGGTGAAAAACCTGAGGAGAAGAAAGAAGAAGAAAAGCCAAAAGATCTTTCACTTTCATCAGCTCTTGGCGCAGCTCTTCTTAAGAACCATGAGGACGAACAAGAAAAGCCTAAAGAAGAAGAGAAGAAAGAAACAGAAGAAGAACCAAAGAAGGAAGAAGAGAAACCAAATGAAGAAGAAAAGAAAGAGGAAGAAAAGCCAAAAGATCTTTCATTGGCTTCAGCACTTGGAGCAGCCCTTCTTGACAAGCACGAGGAAGAAAAGCCTAAGGAAGAAGAGAAACCAAAGAATGAAGAAGAAGTTAAAGAAGAAAAACCAGCAGAAGAACCAAAGAAAGAGGAAGAAGAGAAACCAAAGAATGAAGAAGAAGTTAAAGAAGAAAAACCAGCAGAAGAACCAAAGAAAGAGGAAGAAGAAAAACCAAAAGAAAACGACCTTTCTCTCTCGTCTGCACTTGGAGCAGCTCTTCTTAAGAATAAGGAAGATGAACAAGAGAAGCCTAAAGAAGAAGAAGAAAAGAAAGAAGCAGAACAAAGCCCAGAAGAGGAAGATGCTAAGGAACCGCCTCCTTCAGAGGGGCATGAAAAGAAAATTTTATTTCAAAAACCAGGGAATCTTGGAGAAATGCAATCAAACGAACAAAATGACAATAAAACAAGAGAATTTAACAAAAAAATCGACGTACATCAGCCCGAACAGGAACATCAAGAAGGAGATAGCGAGGAAAAGAAATCAGATCTTCATGATGCTGATGAAGTAAAACCAAACGATACTTCTCTTGCATCAGCACTTGGAGCTGTTCTTCTCGACAAACACGATGAAGAGAAACCAAAGGAAGAAGAAAAAGCTGAACCAGAAAATCAAGACAAACATAAAGAAGAAGAGAAAGCTGAACAAGAAAAGCCAAAAGAAGAGGAAAATCCGAAGAAGGAAGACCTCTCACTTGCTGGAGCTCTTGGTGCAGCACTTCTTGACAAAGAAGAAGAAAAGAAAGAACCAGAACAAGCAGAAGAACAAAAAGAACTTCCACAACCAGAAGAACCCAAACAAGAAGAAGAAAAGCTACCAGAAGAAACTAAAAAGGACAATGAAAAGCCAGAAAATGACTTATCCATTGCAAAGGCTCTTGAAAAGACTCTTGAAAAGCCAGAAGAAAAGAAAGATGAAGAAGAAAAACCAAAAGAAGAAGAAAAAGAAACAAACACAGCAAAGAAAGAAGACGAGAAAGCAGGTCTTTCACTATTCGGTGCAGTTAGTGATGCTCTTGAACATCCATCAGAAACCACATCCCGCGAATTCGAACCATCCAAATCAGAAGAAACGAAAGAAGAAGAAAAAGAAGAAGCAAAACCAGCTGAACAATCAGAACAGAAAGAACCAGAAGAAGAAAAGAAAGACAAAGACAAAGACAAAGAAAATCAAGAAAAGCCAACTCTTTCACTCACAAGTGCAATTGGTGCAGCACTTGTTCATCAAACTGATAAACCAGAAGAAACTCAACCATCAGAAGAAGAAAAGAAAGAAGACGAAAAACCAAAGGCCGAAGAAGACGAAAAGAAAGAAGAAAAACCTGAAGAAAAAGAAGATGATGAAAAGAAGGAAGAAGAAAATCCAAAAGACAAAGACCTTTCTCTCTCATCTGCTCTTGGTGCAGCTCTTCTTAACAAACATGATGAAGAACCAGAGAAGGCTAAAGAAGAAGAGAAACCAACAGAAGAACCAAAGAAAGAAGAAGAAGAAGAAGTTAAGGAAGAAAAAGTAGAAGATGAGAAGAAAGAAGAAAAAAAACCAAAGGAAGAAGAACCAAAGAAAGAAGATCTTTCATTGGCAACAGCATTAGGAGAAGCTTTAATTAACAAACATGAAGAAGGAGAAGAAACTAAACCAGAAGAAAAGGAATTAAAGAAGGAAGAAAAAAAAGCTGAACCAGAAAATCAAGACAAACCTAAAGAAGATGAAAAAGAGACTGAAAAACCAAAAGAAGAGGAAAATCCGAAGAAGGAAGATCTCTCACTTGCAGGAGCTCTTGGTGCAGCACTTCTCCACAAAGAAGAAGAAAAGAAAGAACCAGAGCCACCTAAAGAAGAAAAGAAAGTTGAAGAAAAGCCAAAAGAAGAACCAAAGAAAGAAGAGGAAAAGCCAAAAGAAAACCAAAAGAGGCACCAAAGAAAGAAACAAAGCCAAGCGAGCCAATCAATCTCTTTGGAATGTTTGGAACAAAAGATACATCCAAAGAAAACCTCAAACCACAAGAACATAAAGAACAGCCAAAACAACAAGAAAAGAAACCAGAGCCACCTAAAGAAGAAAAGAAAGTTGAAGAAAAGCCAAAAGAAGAACCAAAGAAAGAAGAGGAAAAGCCAAAAGAAAAACCAAAAGAGGCACCAAAGAAAGAAACAAAGCCAAGCGAGCCAATCAATCTCTTTGGAATGTTTGGAACAAAAGATACATCCAAAGAAAACCTCAAACCACAAGAACATAAAGAACAGCCAAAACAACAAGAAAAGAAACCAGAGCCACCTAAACCACAACAACATCAAAACAATACAAAGAAAGAAGAACCAAAGAAGAACAAATATGCAGATGATGATGATCCTGGTCCACTTTCTTTCATGGATGTAATCAGTCGCCAATTCAGTAACGCACCTCCACCACCTCCTCCACATTCTTCTGCAACTAAACCAAGAGATTTCAAGCCAAAAGAAGATGAATCAAAGACTTTAAAAGCGTCTGGCAAATCTTCTGAGTCTCTGAAAGATTCAGAAGATAAGAAGCCAAAACAAGAAGAAAAGAAAGAGGAAACAAAACCAAAGGAAGAAAAGCCAAATCTTTCTTTGGCAGCTGGTTTAGCAGCAACATTAGTTAAACCAGATGAAAAGAAAGATGAAGAAAAACCAAAAGAAATCGAAAATAAAGAACAAGAAAAACCAAAATCTCCACATGATGAAAAGAAAGAAGAAGAAAAACCTAAGGAAGAAGAGAAGTCCAAAGAAGATGAAAAGAAGGACGAAGAAAAACCGAAGCTTTCTTTGGCTGAAGGTTTAGCAAATGCACTAGATAAACCAGATGAAAAGAAAGAAGAAGAAAAAAAATCTCCTAAAGAAGAAGAACAGAAGAAAGATGATGAAAAGAAGGAAGAGAAACCTAATGAAGAAGAGAAAACTCCTAAAGAGGAAGAGAAGAAGGAAGAAGAACCAAAGAAAGAAGAGGAAAAGCCGAAACTTTCTTTAGCTGAAGGTTTAGCAAATGCATTAGACAAACATGAAGAAAAAGAAGAGAAACCAGAGTCTCCTAAAGAAGAAAAGAAAGAGGAAGAAGAGCCTAAATCTCCAAAGAAAGAAGACGAAAAAGAAAAATCTCTTAATGAAGAACCAAAGAAGGAAGAAAATAAAGAAGAAAAGCCAAAACTTTCTTTAGTTGCAGAGATAGAAAACGCTCTTGACAAACCAGAAGAAAAAGAAGAGAAGAAAGAGGAAGAAAAACAATCTCCGAAGAAGGAGAACGAAGAAGAGAAACCAAAAGAAAGAGATTTCAACTATTCTCAAGATCAAAAACCAAAGCTTTCTCTTGCAATAATTCCTGATCATTCTCTCGACATCAAAGAAGAAGAAAAACTAAACTCACCAAAGAAAGAAGAAGAAGAAAAACTAAACTCACCAAAGAAAGAAGAAGAAAATGAAAAACTTTCTTTAGTTCAAAATGTTTCTGATGCATTGGAGAGACCAGAAGTCGAAGAAGAAAAAGAGAAACAAGAAGAGAAAGAAGAAAAGAAACCTGCTTTAGCCATTGTTCCTATTAATGCAGACAAAGATGAATCACAACCAAAAGAAAGAGAATTTAAACCACAAAGCAAACCACAACTTTCATTAAATGTTGATTCAATTGATAAAGAACCAGAACCAAAACAAGTCAAATTAACAATGACTCCAAATGTCGATCAAATCTTCACACAGGAAGCAATAAAACCAAAAGAAGAAGAACCACAAGTTAAACCACAATTATCTTCTTCCCAAAGCATCATTGAGAAACCAGAAGAAATTAAAGCTCAACCACAAATTTCTTCATCTAAATCCATTGATTTGCCAATAGAAGACAGACATCTTCCAGAGTTATCTCGATCTCCAAATGTCTTAGAAATACCTGTAGTTGAACAAGAACAAGTTAAACCACAGATATCAGAGACATCGAATGCAATTGAACTTCCTGACGAAGAGAAAGTTCAACCACAACTTTCGATGAGTCAAAACATCATTGAAAAACCAGAAGAAGCTAAAGTACAGCCACAGATTTCTTCTTCCAAATCAATTGATTTCCCAGAAGTCAAACAAATTATTCCGCAAATTTCTGATGCTTCTTACACTGTTGAATTTCCAGCAGAAAACAAAGTTCAACCAAGAATTTCAGATACATCGAATTCGGTTGAACTTCCTGAGCAACAGAGACAATCACCACAGATCTCGATAACTCAGAATGTCATTGAGATGCCTGAAGAAGTCAAACAACTTCCTCAGTTATCTCATTCTCCAAATGTTTTGGAAATTCAAGAAAAAGAAATTCCGAAACTCGAAATTTCGTCGATAAAGGACGAATCAGAGTTTTCTAAACCAGAAAAGAAACTTTCTCTTTCATTCTGCAATAACTCCAGCGAGAAGTTCTCACAATCTCCTAAGATTGTTCCTGAAGTCGAATCCAAAGAAAGAACTTTGAATTTGTCTGAAAAGAAGAATTTCACTTTTTGCACGAATTCAAGCGAAAAGTTCTCAGTTATGCCTGGCGAAGACATGGTCCAGAACGGAAGGAAGTCCGCTCTAACTGTTGTTAACGAACAGACACATTCAGGCGAAAACAGGAAGTCTTCTTTGAGCTCTTCAAACGACCAGAACGAAAGAAGAACTAAGAAACATCGCAATTCTCACAAACCGAAGTTGGAAGTCAACAACGATTATCTCGAGATGAAGAGCGATTCTTCAATGTTTGATTATGAAGACAGAAGGCCTTTGTCTGAGAGATCCAAGGCTCTCAAGCTCTCCTTCTCCAAAGTCACAGAAGTTGTTGACCCAGACAATCCTGATGTTAAGAGCTACAGAGAACAGTTCAACTCTGCAAGATCTAAACCATCAATTACATTTACTTTGGCTCCAGAACATGATGTTGCTGAAGGAGAAAAGATTCAGCTCCAAGACATCATCAACAGCAGGTTCATGACACCAGAGAAAGATAAGCAAAATCAAACATCAAAGATGAGATACCATGATTATGATTAAGTTTATTATTTATTGTTTATTTTTTAAAAATTTATTATGAATTCTATATATATTTTGCAGTTTTAAAATTAGTTGCTACTACTAATAATCATAAACCCCATTTTGAGATTCATATTGTATAATTATTTTAGGATTTTTATTCAGCTAGTTTCGAAAAAGTTTAAAATTGTCCATATGTTTTAAATAATTATTTCCTATAAATATGAAATGAATTTAGGTTATATGATTAGATATATTCCACACACAATTTGCCTATTACTGTTAATCTCCCTTTGGCAGAACTATGTATAAATAATTCTAAATATAATATAACAAATTGAGATCTGAACAAAACAGGCGTCAATACTTTTAATGATTTTTGAAAAAAAAATAACAATCAGAGGCACTTATCAGACATATGGAAAATTGAGGCGAAAACGATAAATCACATTTTTGTTCTCAATTTTTTCACAATAACTCAAAATATCCAGCAAGTTCTGGTGAATGTGTATGTGCATATGTATGAATTTATAATAGTGTAAAAAATTCACTTTGACAATATTATATTTGGATAATTAATTTTAAAATTTTCAGCATTTTTTTAATGGTAAGAATTCAACTGGATACCCAGATATTCCAGAGGATTAACAATTGCAATACAAGTGAAAAAATTACATTAGCAATCAACAATGTCGAGATAGTTATCAATAAATTTTTTGCAATAACTTTCTCAGAAATGATTTATAACAAATATCGGTTAGATAACAAAATTGCCAAAATTGAGATATTTGTTAATGTTTCGTCACCTGATACATATAAATTACCCTACGTTCCCAACTTCTGGAAAACGGTTTTTCACCCTTATGATCAGTTTCAGACACTTTGGGAGTCTCCCAAACTTTGATATTTTGCATTATGATAGAGAAACGTGTCTAGTTTAACGCACAGTTGTTTTAAAGGCAAATGATGATATCACATGAAATTATCAAATTATCAAATTTTGAAGTACCAGTCCAAAGGGTTAATTAGATCCTACACAGATGTGCGATAGTGAAACATATGTGTTCTTGATTTGAGAAGTCCTACTGATAGAGGTATGAATCTCACAGCTTTGTGTGAGTGTGTCTGACACTTGTATAGAGTGGAATATGCGCCGACATATATTATATAATAACATGTAGTTGATAATTATGAAAAAATAGAATTCGATGCGAATGATATTGAAAGTTGTTTTGTAATTTGATATTTTTCTTATATGTGTTAATTAGTAAATGGCTTGTTTGTTGTGATAGTACTGTGAAAAATGAAAGGTATTTTAAATTAAAAAATTGAGATTTTGAGATATCTCTAGAATTAAGAATTTATTATGTATTTGACTTTTATATAACTATGTGTAAAGGATCTCGATGTCTATATGCTTTAAATAAAATTAAATAAAATGAGATAAAAAATTAAAATGGACAAGAAGATATATGGAAATGTAATTTGTATTGTGTTGGTTGTTGGCAAAATGATTTTAATACAGATTTAAGGATTTGGAATGGATTTGAAATTAAATGATTTTAATTCAAGGAGTAATAAGATTTTGAACTGGTTTTTATTTTGTGAATGTAAACTCCTTCCATAGGATATGTATTAGAAAGATCAATGTCAAACTTTTTGAAAGAATTTTTTTTTGTTGAGCGATTTTCTCATATTTAATAATATATTTAAGTTGGCGTATCTTACGCCCTTCCAAAAATATGTATTAGAAAGATCAATGTCAAACTTTTTGAAAGAATTTTTTTTTTGTTGAGCGATTTTCTCATATTTAATAATATATTTAAGTTGGCGTATCTTACGCCCTTCCAAAAATATGTATTAGAAAGATGACTTATAATTTCATAAATTATTTTGTCCCGACGGTTTGAGTGGTTATCAGAATGGTTGCTTACACAATGCGTCAGCAAAATGTCGGTTGGGGTGCCCTTCTTGGCCTCCTGAGTACTCACCAAGATACCCCCAGCTCCCGCAAAACACCTCCCTTAGGTGCGCATTACCTGACGGCATTATTTTGCAATTATTTCAAATTTTTTAGATGTCTTTTGTTAAAGTTTGTTAACTAAAGACTTGAAAACAGCTTACCGCTTCAAGCTGCTCTCTTCCCGGTTCCTCTGCCGCAATCTTCTGTTTGATTGTGCGCAAAGCTCTCCTCCTTGTGAACCATGGCTGATAGAAAGAACTGAAAGACAGGATAGGAGGAACATGCCGGTTCAAGTTAACTTGCAATATGCTTCTGATTAGTGATTTTAGATGAAAGATTAGCGAAATCGCATTTAATTTGGATAGAAGGATTCAATTTTATGAAGCAGGCTCGTAGAAAATATGCAGGAATAGCACAATCTTTTGCAATCACAACGCGATTGCAAAACTTTGACCGACAAGAGTGTATTATGCACTCTTGTCGGTCTGCATGTCTCATTCCAGGAGACATTGTCACTGCATGTCTCCCAGAATGAGACAATCTTCCGCATTCATAACTTGAATGCGGAAGTTTGACCGACAAGAGTGTATTGTGCACTCTTGTCGGTCTGCATGTCTCATTCCAGGAGACATTGTCACTGCATGTCTCCCAGAATGAGACAATCTTCTGCAATCAGAATGTGGTTGCAAAACTTTGACCGACAAGAGTGTATTGTGCACTCTTGTCGGTCTGCATGTCTCATTCCAGGAGACATTGTCACTGCATGTCTCCCAGAATGAGACAATCTTCTGCAATCAGAATGTGGTTGCAAAACTTTGACCGACAAGAGTGTATTGTGCACTCTTGTCGGTCTGCATGTCTCATTCCAGGAGACATTGTCACTGCATGTCTCCCAGAATGAGACAATCTTCTGCAATCAGAATGTGGTTGCAAAACTTTGACCGACAAGAGTGTATTGTGCACTCTTGTCGGTCTGCATGTCTCATTCCAGGAGACATTGTCACTGCATGTCTCCCAGAATGAGACAATCTTCTGCAATCAGAATGTGGTTGCAAAACTTTGACCGACAAGAGTGTATTGTGCACTCTTGTCGGTCTGCATGTCTCATTCCAGGAGACATTGTCACTGCATGTCTCCCAGAATGAGACAATCTTCTGCAATCAGAATGTGGTTGCAAAACTTTGACCGACAAGAGTGTATTGTGCACTCTTGTCGGTCTGCATGTCTCATTCCAGGAGACATTGTCACTGCATGTCTCCCAGAATGAGACAATCTTCTGCAATCAGAATGTGGTTGCAAAACTTTGACCGACAAGAGTGTATTGTGCACTCTTGTCGGTCTGCATGTCTCATTCCAGGAGACATTGTCACTGCATGTCTCCCAGAATGAGACAATCTTCTGCAATCAGAATGTGGTTGCAAAACTTTGACCGACAAGAGTGTATTGTGCACTCTTGTCGGTCTGCATGTCTCATTCCAGGAGACATTGTCACTGCATGTCTCCCAGAATGAGACAATCTTCTGCAATCAGAATGTGGTTGCAAACTTTGACCGACAAGAGTGTATTGTGCACTCTTGTCGGTCTGCATGTCTCATTCCAGGAGACATTGTCACTGCATGTCTCCCAGAATGAGACAATCTTCTGCAATCAGAATGTGGTTGCAAAACTTTGACCGACAAGAGTGTATTGTGCACTCTTGTCGGTCTGCATGTCTCATTCCAGGAGACATTGTCACTGCATGTCTCCCAGAATGAGACAATCTTCTGCAATCAGAATGTGGTTGCAAAACTTTGACCGACAAGAGTGTATTGTGCACTCTTGTCGGTCTGCATGTCTCATTCCAGGAGACATTGTCACTGCATGTCTCCCAGAATGAGACAATCTTCTGCAATCAGAATGTGGTTGCAAAACTTTGACCGACAAGAGTGTATTGTGCACTCTTGTCGGTCTGCATGTCTCATTCCAGGAGACATTGTCACTGCATGTCTCCCAGAATGAGACAATCTTCTGCAATCAGAATGTGGTTGCAAAACTTTGACCGACAAGAGTGTATTGTGCACTCTTGTCGGTCTGCATGTCTCATTCCAGGAGACATTGTCACTGCATGTCTCCCAGAATGAGACAATCTTCTGCAATCAGAATGTGGTTGCAAAACTTTGACCGACAAGAGTGTATTGTGCACTCTTGTCGGTCTGCATGTCTCATTCCAGGAGACATTGTCACTGCATGTCTCCCAGAATGAGACAATCTTCTGCAATCAGAATGTGGTTGCAAAACTTTGACCGACAAGAGTGTATTGTGCACTCTTGTCGGTCTGCATGTCTCATTCCAGGAGACATTGTCACTGCATGTCTCCCAGAATGAGACAATCTTCTGCAATCAGAATGTGGTTGCAAAACTTTGACCGACAAGAGTGTATTGTGCACTCTTGTCGGTCTGCATGTCTCATTCCAGGAGACATTGTCACTGCATGTCTCCCAGAATGAGACAATCTTCTGCAATCAGAATGTGGTTGCAAAACTTTGACCGACAAGAGTGTATTGTGCACTCTTGTCGGTCTGCATGTCTCATTCCAGGAGACATTGTCACTGCATGTCTCCCAGAATGAGACAATCTTCTGCAATCAGAATGTGGTTGCAAAACTTTGACCGACAAGAGTGTATTGTGCACTCTTGTCGGTCTGCATGTCTCATTCCAGGAGACATTGTCACTGCATGTCTCCCAGAATGAGACAATCTTCTGCAATCAGAATGTGGTTGCAAAACTTTGACCGACAAGAGTGTATTGTGCACTCTTGTCGGTCTGCATGTCTCATTCCAGGAGACATTGTCACTGCATGTCTCCCAGAATGAGACAATCTTCTGCAATCAGAATGTGGTTGCAAAACTTTGACCGACAAGAGTGTATTGTGCACTCTTGTCGGTCTGCATGTCTCATTCCAGGAGACATTGTCACTGCATGTCTCCCAGAATGAGACAATCTTCTGCAATCAGAATGTGGTTGCAAAACTTTGACCGACAAGAGTGTATTGTGCACTCTTGTCGGTCTGCATGTCTCA